CTTGAATTCCTGGGTTCAATTGATCTTCCCGCCTCAGCCTCCGAAAGTGCTGGGATGACAGGCATGAGCCACTGCACCCGGCCAGCTTGGCAGTAGTAAGCACTCACAGGTCCCAGCTCTTGTCCCCACTGAAGAATGAGCAAGTGTCCAGTGGGAATGGCAGGACAGCAGAAGACCAGAGGAGAGGCATGGCCTGGGTGCTGGCCCTGGACATACCTCTGGACCCTTCCAAGTCCTCATGGTGGGGGAGCAGAGGCCACGGTGGTGCAGAGCCCGAACCACCGCTGTAGGAAGCCGCACTGCCCGCCCCACCCAGACTGTTCCCTTGGCAGGGCACGGGGGAGGCAGGGCATCCCGGAGCTGCTGGGAAGTGACCCAGGAACACTGTGTCTCCCGGGGCTCCAGGGCCCGGCAAGTCCACCTGGAGGCCGGGCCCCTGCAGCTGAGGAGGCCACAGCACGAGGCATTTTAATGTCTTTTAAATCCGTAGCTGGGATGAGACACCCATTCACACGACCTTTGTCCGTTCCTGCCTGGAGCCGCTGCAGTGAGTTAATAAATACTGGAGGAGGTGGGCCGAGCCTGCGGGGGAAGAGCTGTGCCCTGAGGAGGCAGCTCTGGCCCCGGCGGCCTAGGCCCTCATGGTCTCCCCTGCTAACGGCATCCCAGACCAGTGCTGAGTTAGCTGGTCACTATACTTACCTGTAACGACAGGGATGGCCTGACATTCCTGAGGCCATGCCTTGTTTTCAGCCACAGCCTGCGGGATCGTCCCCAACCTTGGGGTCAAACCACCTGTCGCATTGTAAGCAAAATGCTCTATAGCGGTACCCCAAGTGGGGTCCCTGGCCCTATAGGGGCGGCATTGCCTGGGCGCTCTGTGGAGATGCACGTTTTCAGGTTGCCCCAGCCCCACTGGGTCAGCAGCGCAGGCCGGCCATGATCGGCTTCGCAAAGCCCCAGGGGTTCTGAGGTGCACTCTGAGGAGAGTCCTGGTAACTCCAGGGGAGATGGAAGGGTGCGACGCCTGACGAGGGTGGGGGAGCACCGCCAGACCAGAAGCAGAGCGGGGCCTGGCCCCAACTCCATCAGTCACTGTTTAGCCGGGGCTCCTCCTGTGCCTGTTTCTTCATTTGGAAACCGAACACGACAGTGTGTCCTTCGATGGCATTTCAGGACTGCTGTGAAAATCAGCAAGATGCTACAGACCAGAATCTTGCAAAGTGTGAAGTTCGTCAGTCAGGAATGCTGAGAGCCTCAGTACCCCACTCTTCACGGGTGGCCTGTGACCCTCTGAAAAATGGCAAGGACTTCCTGGCAGCCTTTGGTAAGGCAGGGCAATGGCACCAGGGTTGGAGAACCACATACAGAAAGCTGAACAGGCTGCTGTGCCTGAACCTGGTCCCACCCCCCGGGGTGTCTCTTTTGCTAATGAATAATGGGCTCTGCACACGCAGGTGTGCCTGTGGGGAGGGAAGGGGGGTGACATCACCCTCTTGTGCATTTCTGGGTCCACAGGAGGCAGGGCAGGTGACCATCGGAAGCATTTACTTCAGGCCAGCTGCTTCACTTACATCATCTCCATGAACTCTCATGGCACCTCTGCTAGGCAGTTATTTTTTATTTTTTTCTATAGTTTTGAACACAGCCAGGCAGTTCTTAACCCAATTCATAAATGAAAAGACTGAGGCAGGAAATGACCTGCCCAAGGCGGGCAGGGGTGGAGCTGGGATTCCAATCCACGTATCTGCGATCCGGAGCACGCTGTGGCATCTCAGGCAGGGGTGCAAGGTGGTGGGCCACAGGAGAAAGGAGCACAGAGTCCCTGGATAGTGGCACTCAGGATGTATCATGGAACACGATGGAAAACAACTTTTTAGTAAAAAGTAAAGCTTCAAAATGTGGTCTATCCATACAATAGAATATTATTCAGCCTTAGGAAGGAAATTAAAAATGTGAAAAAATGCAGGTGAACATGTGTTTAAAGAAAAATTAAAAAAAAAATTCTGATACATACAACATGGATGAACGTTGACATGTTAAGCAAAATAAGCCAGTCACAGAAAGCCAAATACTGTGTGATCCACTTATGCGAGGTGCCCAGAATAGTCAAATTCAGAGAGACAGAAAGTAGGATGCTGGTTGCCAAGGAGCTGGCGGGAGGGAGGAATGGAGAAGTTACGCTTCATGGGGACAGGGTTTGTTTCACTAGCTGAGAGCCCTATAGAGGGATTCCAGAACACCATGATGATGGTTGCACAATGACCTGAATATATTTACCACCGCTGAACAGCGCACTTACAAATGGTGAAGATGGTAAATCTTGTGTTGTGTATCTTGCCACAATTTTAAGAACTGAAGGAAAAAAGGGCTTCAAAGAAGTGGCTGTGGAGACCGTGATGTGCACTGGCTCCCAGAGGCTCCGCTCCTGCCCTGCCCAGTCTGCTCCAGGCCCCAGTGAGCGGCAGAGAACTGCAGGCACGCAGGGGAGCCCGGCTGCTCTCGGTGGAGCCTGATTTGCTCTCAGCGGCTCTCCAGCTCATCTCAGGATTCGAGGCTGAGGCTTCCTCCTGCTTCCACCTTTTCCGGGAGCTACTGTTCTCACTGCTCAGTGGAGGAAATGGAGCCAATGAGGGAGGCCCCTGCTCACGCGGCCTCTGGGAGCGTGGCTGGGATTCCAGCCCATGCGTCTCATCTCCCACCTTGTCACTGCACACACGGCACAGCAACCCGCTCCCAGGCGACTCCATCAAGTGTGACATTTCCCCAGGTTGACCTTTTTAAATAAAAAAATATATTTATATTTTTTTCAGATGGAGTATCACTCTGTCACCCAGGCTGGAGTGCAGTGACGCGATCTCGGCTTATTGTAGCCTCTGCCTCCCGGGCTCAAGTGATTCTCCCACCTCAGCCTCCTGGGTAGCTGGGATTACAGGCACACCACCACACCCAGCTAATTTTTGTATTTTTAGTAGAGACGGGGTTTTGCCATGTTGCCCAGGCTGGTCTTAAACTCCTGAGCTCAAGTGATCTGCCCGCCTCGGCCTCCCAGAATGCTGGGATCACACAGGTTGACCTCTTGATGTCACGAGGGGAAGCAGCTCTCCTGATGTATGAGTCCTCCCAGATCCTTTATAGAAATGGCTGTGTTCTGGTGGCAGGGGGAGGGGACCAGCTATCTGCAGCGCACGGCGGTGATAAAGACATCATCAAGCAGAACATTGAATTAAGTCTCATTTATTCTAGGGCAAACTCAAAAGGGTTTTTTTTTTGTTTGTTTTCTTTTTTAGCAAATCCTAGCACATTATTAACAAAAAAAATCTGTACATTTGCCATGATACACTTGAAAGTGAAACAAATAAGATATAAATACAGATATGGATGTAACATGAAAAAGCCCAAAAACAAAAAAAATACCAAAAAAAAAAAACCCAAAAAACCCACCCAACCTGGGGATGTGGGGACCATGCGTGTGAACACAGTGCCAACAAAACTATTTTGGTGGCTGATATTTTTCAGAGCATTTCTTTATTTCCAAACATTATTGTTAGCAAAGTCCTGGTGGGATTCTACAAAGTTCTTATTTGCTGTCCTTTAAAGTGTAACATTATGCTTGATAAATAAAGGGTGGCAGGGAAAGAAAAAGGCTGATGAGACAAAGTCAGTTGCATTACCTGCACAGGGTGGTAAGCTAGTGAGGCGCGTAGAAAAGGCAGGCCCGCGGCATCGCCGCAGGTCCGGGAAGCACACACAGTGCACTTGAAGGAAGCTGCGTGCCCCAAGGACTGGCCGCACCCTGCCCAGACCCTGGCTGCAGGGGAGGCAGCAGCTTGGAGGAAGCAGGGAGTCAGCCCTCCCGGCCCCGCAGTGGAGCAGCAGGGCTCTCCGGCCCTGGCCAGTCAGGTAGACGGGGAGGCAGAGACAGGCCTAGGTGCTCTGCTCTTGTGTGTTCTGTTTTTCATTGGAACAGGGGCCCTGCAGGGAGGCGGCGGCAAGGCAAGGCAGCTGCAGCTGTCAGGGTCTAGGGGGCGACGGTGGGCTCGGCGCCCTCCCAGTGAGGTGGTGGCGGCATGCGAGTCTCCTCGGCGCGGCGGCAGCAGTTTTCAGATTGAGGCCAAGAGACCTGTGACGTGATTGTATCTCTCTTTGTCAGGAGACTGAAGACTGGGCAAGTGACATTCAAGGCTAGCCCTTTGTGAGTACTATGAGGACGTCCAGCGATGTTCAAGATCCTTTCTCAGTACACCGGGGACTGCAGGGCCTTCTGGAGTCAAAGAGCTCAAGGAGAAAGGTCTTTCTAACTGCATGAGGCATAAAGACACTCACGGATAACCTAGCCCGACGCACATTCCTACAACAGACGCGTCAACAAAAGACTCCCTAATTCACTTGTAGAGTGTAAAAAAGAAATACCATTCATGACATTTTAATAAACCAACAGTATTTATCAACAAAAGACCTGGTCCTGCTATATTTTAAGCCAAAGCTAGTCAGGAATACCCAACCCCTTGAAATGCATCCCTCAAGTTCCCTAAACAGCAGCAGTGAGGTACCACACGTGTAGGGTGCACGCACACACACACACACCACACACACACACCACATGCCACACACACCACACGCCACACACACACCACACGCCACACACACACACACACACACACACGGTCAGCACCCTGGCTTCACTGTTCCTACACATTATGAGGCCTTCATTTTCAGCGCATGTTTCCAAATACAACATCAGTCTTTCCCAGCTTCCTACATCCAATCTGGAGGGTCAGGGCAGAGGGGTCTGTGGAAATGGTGAGAACCACGTGCTCTGGCACCAGCGTCTGCTTTCAGTCCTAGCAGTTGCAGTGGGCTCTGCACTGGAATAGCAAATACATTATTAGAATTAATCTCAAAAGCGTTTTCCTTATGGAAAAATCAGTTCAATTTATAGGATCTAATACAACAGGAAGAGACAATAGAAGTCCTCATGATTGCATTAAGAATTTCCATTTGGCTTAAGAATTTTAGTCAAAATTTATTTAAACCGACTGCAAACCTCTAGTTGCTTTTATTGGAGTAATCAGGCTCTAAGGGTGTGTGTAGAGGGGGTAGCGGTTCCTTGAGGAGGAGGCAGACTCTAACCGTGTGTTCTATTTCAGTGTGTTTCTAATCCTGTTTTCTGCAATCTGCTACACCTCATAATTATTTTCCTTAAACAGTGACTACTTCATCAACAGACATTCAAGGAACGACTTCGGTTTACAACATTAAGAAAACTGTGATATCCAGTCTCTCTAGGCTTTTCTTTGCTCTTAATCCCACATTAAATGGAGAAGTCAGAACTAAGATGGTAAAGATGGCATTTACCAGATTAACTGAGACCATGTTAGAACTGAACAGCTTCAGCAGAACTTCGGGGAGAGGAAAGAGGTTGCTGCTAAATCTGAATCACCAAGTAGCCCAGGGATGTGGATCTTGGCAGAACCCCCATGACAACAGTGTTCCCAAGGATCTCAGCAGTAAAGATGAAAGACTTCTCTTTTATCTTCTGTGCTTCACGAACTGCCATCTCAGGCATCCCTACATGATGCCATACATTTATCTTATTTTTGTGTCCAGATTTAAATTTGAAGAATTCCTTTGCATGGAAGCTCTGGGGTGAGGACCTTGTCTGTGGAGTTGATTAGGGAGGGCTGGAAGGAGACTGCTGGGGTACACTCCCAATTCTATGCTGAAAGCCAGGGCAGTCGGCCTCCAGTCCGGATATGACAAGAAAAATTCCTAGCGTTTGTTAAAAGGCCATCTTCAGACCGTTCTTGCCAAGACTTGATTCCCATTTTTAGTAGGTCTCAGAACACAACTTAAAGATGTGTCACCTTTCATGGTGTCAGCTGTGAAAGGGGCCCCACACAGACCATACTCACAAGAAAATAGGCTAAGGAGGAGGAACACAAAGTAACACCCCACCCCACCCCCAAATCCGTTATTAACTGAAAAAAAAAAAAAATGCTACTTTCTACCAAGTAGTGGCTACAGCGCTCTGATTTTTAAAAACTGCACCCCACACACATGGTTTCGCCATCGCAGCAGGCTGTACAAGACATGTTTCAGCATGGCTCTTTTCTGTTCTTACTCCTTTCATTTTGTATGAAGACTGCAATACAGGCCTTGCTTCCTTTACATTCAATACCAGTAAGATTCTACAGAAAAGCTGGAAGGGACCAAAATACTGATTGTAATAAATATTTGTGGGCCTCCTTGTACTGACAGGGCAGCCGATGAAGGGGGTGGGGAGAGGTCTCTGAGAGGCACCACCGATTGCTTCTAGGTCTACACAAGAGACAGGTGCTGCCATTAGCTGTGCGTGGAGACGTCGGAGGAGGAGCTGCTGTTGCTGTTGGTGGTCTGGGCCCTCTTGATATATAAGTTTAGTAGCTTCATCTGAAAAGAGAAGATGAAACTGAATTAGCAGGAAGAAAAGCAGTCAGAAAGTAGAAGACAGGAAAAAGAATCCCAGGTGACAGTAAGAAAACAGCAAGTCCCTTCGTTCCCTTGGTTGAGGAATTCATTATAAAAACATGTTCTGAGTGCCTGCTGCTCATCCAATGCATCTGCCAGGTGCTAGGGACACAGAGCGACACAGAGGAGGAGAGGGAAAAGCAGTGGGCAATTACAAGACCACCACCAGGTGTCACAACTAGGTGGGCCGCAGCAGCTCATGGAGGAAGGGATACGGTGGCAGGGCCATTCATCTCAAGGGCGACTGCAGCCCAAAGGCTCCATCAGAGCCAGGGGAAAAGTAGGGTGAGAACCCCGCTCCACAGGGGTGAAGTGGCTGGGCCAAGGTCAGAGGGCAAATCCTCTAATCTTCACACCTTTAGCTTCTTGAGTAGCTGGGAGTACAGGCGTGTGACACCATGCCTGGCAGTACTTTAAATGTAAATGGATTAAACTCTTCAATCAAAAGATAGAAATGGGTGGAATGGATAAACATTTGATCCAATGATATGCTGTCTATAAGAAATTCACTTCAGATCCACAGACATAAATGGATTGAAAATGAAAGGACATAAAAAGATATTCCATGGAACAGTAGTCAAAGAGAGCAAGGCTGGCTATACTAACATCAGACAAAACAGACTTGGCATCAAAAAAGCTTCTGGAGGTAAGACTTCGATACCCCACCCTCAATAATGGATAAAAGAACCAGCCAGATGATAAGCAAGCAAATAGAGGACTTAACCCTAAACCAACTTGATCTAACAGATGTATATGAAACTCAACAACGGAACACACGTCCTTCTCAAAGGATACGTCAAGTTTCAAATCTATTGAAACTTAATGTGTGATTTAACATATGGTTATGGTTTATCCTATTCTCCAGGATAGACCACATGTTAAATCACACATTAAGTTTCAATAGATTTAAAAAGATACCAAAGTATCTTCTCCAACCATAATGGGATGAAGTAAGAAATCAATAATAGAAGGAAAACTAAAACATTCATAAATTTGTAAAAACTGAGTAACATATTCTTAAACAACCAATAAGTAAAGAGGAGGTCATAAGGTAAACTAGAAAACATATTTAAAACAGAATTTTTTTTTTTTTTGAGACAGGGTCTCACTTGGAAGCCCCGGCTGGAGTGCAGTGGCACAACCTCAGCTTACTGCAGCCTCGACCTTCCAGGATCAGTGATCCTCTCACCTTAGCTTCCTGACTAGCTGGGGCCACAGGTGCACACCACCATGCCCAGCTAATTTTTGTATTTTGTATGATGGGGTTTTGCCATGTTGACCTGGCTGGTCTTGAACTCCCGGGCTCAAGTGATCCTCCTGCCTCGGCCTCCCAAAGTGCTGGGATTACTAGCATGAGCCACCGCACCTGGCCTTAGAAAACATCTTGAGACAAATGAAAATGAAAAGACAATTTTGGGGGATGCAGCAAAGCAGCGCTGAAGAGGGAAATTTAGAGTTATAAATGCTTACATTTAAAAAGACCTCTCTAATCAACAAGCTAAACTTTACCTTAAGGAACTAGAAAAAAAAGTAAATCTAAAGCTAGCAGGAGCAAACAATAAAGATTTAGAGCAGAGATAAACAAAACAGATAATAGAAAAATAGAGAAAACTGGCTGGGCACGGTCACGTCTATGATCTCAGCACTGTAGGGGGCTGAGGTGGGAGAATCGTTTGGAACCAGTTCAAGACCAGATGTGCAACACAGCAAGACCCTATCTCTACAAAAAATTAAACCATTAGCTTGGATTATGTGTGCCTGTAGTCCCAGCTACTTGGGGAGGAGGCTGAGATGGGAGGATGGCTTGAGTCCAGGAGGTCAGGGGTGCCAGTGAGTCATGATTGTGCCACTGCACTCCAGCCTGGGTGACCAAAAAAAATTATGTTTATTTATTTATTTATTTTTGCACAGACGTGGTCTTGCTGTTGCCCAGGCTGGTTTGGAGCTTCTGGCCTCAAGTGACCCTGCCAAAGTGCTGGAATTACAGGCGTGAGCCACCTGCTCCTGGCCCAATCAAATAATTTCCAGCAAGCGTGCCAAGACCATTCAATGGGGAGAGGATCATTTTTAACAGATGAGAAATCGCCATTGGGTATGTCTTTTCAACAAACGAGATACCCATCCTCATCTCATAGAGGATGACTATTAGAAATAATTAGGAATAAATTAGAAAAATGAAAAATAAAAACAAAGTAACAAGTGTTGGTGAGGAAGTGGGGAAATTCGAACACTTGTGCACCGCTGGTCAGAATGTAAAATGGTGCAATCTCTGTGGAAAACAGCAGGGAGGTTCCTCGAAACCTTAAGGACTTGAACAGATGCACCAGTGTTCACAGCAGCATTATTCACAAGAGCCAGAAAGTGGAAGCAACCAAACCGCACTATCTACACACAATGGACATTCAGACTGGAAAAGGAAGGAAATCTGACAAATGCTGCAACATGGATAAGCCCTGAGGACACTATGCTAAGTGAAATAAGCCAGCCATAAAGGACATGTAGGATGTAATTCCACCTATATGAGATACCTGGGGTAGTCAAATTCATGGAGACGGAAAGTAGAATGGTGGGTGCCAGGGGTTGGGAAAGAAGGAAATAGGAAATTATTGTTTAATGGGTGCAAAGGTTCGGTTTTGCAAAATGAAAAAAGTTTCGAAGATGGATGGTAGTGATGGTTATACAACAGTATGAACCACACACTTAAAAATAGTTACAATGGGCTGGGTGCGGTGGCTCACACCTGTAATCCCAGCATTTTGGGAGGCTGAGGCGGGTGGGTCACTTGAGATCAGGAGTTCGAGACTAGATCTAACAGATGTATATGAAACTCAACAACGGAACACACGTCCTTCTCAAAGGATACGTCAAGTTTCAAATCTATTGAAACTTAATGTGTGATT